GCGGACTTGTGATAGGAGGATTGGCCAACTACTTTTACTTCCAAAATGTGAGGCAGATATCTAAGGAGAACCGGGTTGTGGTCTACGCGGCCTGCTCAGCTGTCACTATCCTCGCTGCCATTATAGCAACTGTTGCTCTCACTGACGTAAAGAAAAAGTCGCAAGGAAAGGAAAGAGTTGACGATGTTGAAGCCGTCCCCCGTGAGGATTCGGACGAAGAGGGAGAAGAAGATGTAGATGTGATGATTTTGATGCCTGGAAAACCATCTCCAGTGCAAAAAGGCAAAGATTTGGTCCAAATCCTGGTAAATAAAACAGGATTAAAAGATTTTTTAGATTGGTTCAAAATTATGATGAAGATTCCAGAATTCTGGCTACTAGCTGTCCCGCTCTTCGCCTGGGGATTTGTATGGGGGTTCATGGTAAAGATCCTTCCCACTTCTATACCATCCATCTCCGATAACAGAGGCCTGATACCTATGATAGCCGTGATTATGGGAGTGAGCTACCTCATTGGAACAACTATCTGGAACTTCATCCGAAAGTTTACCGGCAACGGCTTCGTTGTCGTGAGTTGCTGTGTGTTTACCATTGCAGCTGCTGTACTTTCCATTTTGATTCTCCCTCAAGGTTCATCAACGGAGATTTTGGAGATTGGTTCAGTTAAGACCTACGTCCACCCTGACTCCATTTACATTGCATTGATCTGTGGTTTGATTGGACTGGGTGACAGTGGCCTGAGCATCATCTACTACACAACAGCAGGGCGGATTTACGGAAAAGGAACAGGTCCTGGGTACGCTTTGAACGGAATAGGATATCATGGTTTCTACTTCGTATCCATGTTTGCAGCTAACATCTTCAGTCTCCATACCTACTGCTATATTCTCATCGTGGGACTTGTTGCAACGGCCCTTACATTTCCCTTGGGACTAAAAAAATACATGGAATAATATATGTCTCTCTAGGAGTTTACTGAACTTTTCATTGACTGATAGTTGATAGTACGGATATTTAGCGTAGTTAACAGTAGATATAGTCAATAGTAAGAAACATTTTATTACCTATAATCATTAGAAAACGCATAAAATTTAAACTTACGATCAGCTCCAATATCTCATTTCTCAGTTCCTTTCTGACGTCATCTTTTCCCCCTAGTATAATCTCCCCTTTGCTCCAGTCAGGGAATATAAGGGCTCCTTAAGTTGAAAAGGTTAAGGTTTTTACCAATGCCAACGACCAAAAGTTGTAAACTTTAACGACAATAGTAGGATTCCTTAGACCGTACCTTATATAAGATCAATCTCCTCAGCGCCATTTAGCATTTTTTATTACGTTTAAGATGCTGTTTATTTTATGTAGGACGAGTGCACAGTGAGACATAATTTCTCGGAAAATATTCAAGAATTATTATTTTTTAATGAAAATTTGATCTTAATCACTTAGAATAATAGTTGTACAATCGACCTCTTATAGCTAATATTACGCAATTCTTAGCAAAACAATCAACCACTGTTCCAAATACTGTTAAATAGCTAATATTACGCAATTCTTGGAAAAACCGCGTTACATAGGAAACAAGAATTTCGCCGCGGTAACACCACGCACGATCAAATTTCCCTACTGCCTACAATGTAATTGTTCTACTTTATTGTATCCCAGAGTGGTGTTTGGCGCACGTGATAATCGTTTATATTATGTATATTAGGCGTGCAGAACTTGTAAAATTCTGCGCGCATCTGAAGTGTCGCCGTCGATCTGTATGTGGTTTGGTTGTAGATCATTTCATTTTTGCGCGGTTTTGTTTCGTGTTAACGATGCGTATCATGTCACGTCATATTATTGCATCGTAATTCGTATGCCAACTTTATTGACTGTAATCAACTATTCTGTTTGATGCTTACATCTACAGCAGCATCAACTATCGACTATCGAGCCTTTGATTTTATATAGGATTCTTTAAAAGCATACCGCAATCTTGATCTTAGTTGCTCCTTGAATGTAAATGTAAAGTAACATCTTTTGTCAACTATGTTTTCGCTTTTTACCATTAAGTGTCGATCAACTGTTAAGTAATCAGCAACAAGTTTATCAGCTGATATCATAATTTAATTTGTTTCGACTTGCTGAATTTTATCACTCGGTAATTTATTAAGCTTGTTTCACCAAAATAACACTTACATTGATGATTGATCCGCTCTGATGACTAATATGCTATATTAATGAATAAGAGTGAATTGTAACCCGATGGAAACCTGTGTAACAGTCGTCAAGCACCAAAAACTGGTTGCTATGCCTGTAATTAATTAACACATAACAGGCGTCGCGCGCGCAAAATAGACTCCTTTTATACACATAATTATAGGGGAGTGGTCTATATTGCGAAGGAGCAGACTTTTGTCGTCACCGCAGGTCCATCGGGATAGCTCATATATCCAAACCCGATTACTTATCCCCTACGATCTTTTTGCCTTCGGCAAGAGCAGGGAAAAAAATTATTTGATCCGGAGATCATACGGAGTGTCCCAGAAAAGGGAGATAATGAGATGCTGAGCATGAATAACCACCACTTTGCAAATCATTGCCGGTGTCACGTGCTAATCAGGAACCTGACGGAAGCTGCTGACTGGTAAGCATGCAGCTTAGTACCAGCTAATGAGGTGATCAGTTAATGAGGTTATCAGTTTTACCAGTTCCTGAATGAGTTGGATAGAGTAGTAAATTTTGGGAGTCGATTCAGTTATAGAAGCAAAGCCTCCTCAACAACAACACTTCAAGCTAATAGCTTTGGCCTTTGTTGTCCACCTTTGTTTAAAAAGCTCAATCAATACTATGTGCACCAGGACTGAACGTTAACAAACTACAGATTTACTGGCGGCCACTGTTGTTCCTACTTGCCCTTGTTGAATAATTGCAGATCAGAGGAGACTTGAGGAATTGAGGGACAGCAGTCTTACACAAATAAATGTGCTCAAAACGTACTCCATCCTCTCCAGCGATTGGGCAAACAATGATTTGAAAAATTCCTGAAATACCAACTGCTGTAAATTTTAAGAACAATAGAATTCCACAGATCTTAACCTATTTAACCTCCCCTCAAGGCTCACCGCTCAACGTCATTTAGCATTTCTTGATAACGTTTTCGATGTTGTAAATTTTATTTGTACTGATACATTTTCTTAATAACAGATTCTTCTAACGTACTATGATAATCGATTATAGTTTTGCGCTTTTTTGGTTTTACTGGTTTCTTCGGTCAATACTCATCAACTCATTCTTGTTTGCAGTAGTTTTGCCTAGTTAATGATTTGATTCGTCGATAAGTCTTCCTAGCTTATTTTTTCGTGATACAGATTGCAGGTCGTCTCTCATTTGCAAGTCCTTAACAATGTTACTTTTGCTGTTATGTTTAATACAACTTTTTTTACGTGTAAAAATCATGTTTAACACTATTTGTAACTTAGCATAAACATGGAAAAGTTGAAGAGCGTGTTACTCGATGAAAAGAACAAGAACATGGCGGTGGCCGCCATCTCAATGTCCCTCTGCCTAACTGCTATGCAACCAGCTGGAGTTATTCAAAACATAGCCCTTGCAGAGAGCACTGACATTGACCTCGTAACTGGGTACTATGCCGAATCAATTAAAGTAGTTTTTTCTATCATCGCAGCAGTTTTCTTTAATCCAATCTACAGTATGATTGGAATCAAGCTCACCGCACTGATCTCCACACTCCTCGTGACTGGCACATACTGGGTCATGATATGGATTGTCAGCAAGCAGTTGATATACTTTGGATCTGCACTAACCGGACTAGGACTTGGTGCTCTGTGGATTCTGTGGCCGATGGTGATAATCGACAATTCCACTCCGGAGACTAAACAGAGGAATATGGGGTTATGGTTTATGACATCGGCTTGCGGACTTGTGATAGGAGGATTGGCCAACTACTTTTACTTCCAAAATGTGAGGCAGATATCTAAGGAGAATCGGGTTGTGGTCTACGCGGCCTGCTCGGCTGTCACTATCCTCGCTGCCATTATAGCAACCGTTGCTCTCACTGACGTAAAGGAAAAGTCGCAAGGAAAGGAAAGGGTTGACGATGTTGAAACCGTCCCCCGTGAGGATTCGGACGAAAAAGGAGAAGAAGATGTAGATGTGATGATTTTGATGCCTGGAAAACCATCTCCAGTGCAAAAATGCAAAGATTTGGTCCAAATCCTGGTAAATAAAACAGGATTAAAAGATTCTTTAGATTGGTTCAAAATTGTGATGAAGATTCCAGAATTCTGGCTACTAGCTGTCCCGCTCTTCGCCTGGGGATTTGTATGGGGGTTCTTTGTAAAGATCCTTCCCACTTCTATAGCATCCATCTCCGATAACAGAGGCCTGATACCTATGGTAGGCGTGATTATGGGAGTGAGCTACCTCACTGGAACAACTATCTGGAACTTCATCCGAAAGTTTACCAGCAACGGCTTCGTTGTCGTGAGTTGCTGCTGTACTTTCCATTTTGATTCTCCCTCAAGGTTCATCAACGGAGATTTTGGAGATTGGTTCAGTTAAGACCTACGTCCACCCTGACTCCATTTACATTGCATTGATCTGTGGTTTGATTGGACTGGGTGACAGTGGCGTGAGCATCATCTACTACTCAACAGCAGGGCGGATTTACGGAGAAGGAACAGGTCCTGGGTACGCTTTGAACGGAATAGGATATCATGGTTTCTACTTCGTGTCCATGTTTGCAGCCAACATCTTCAGTCTCCATACCTACTGCTATATTCTCATCGTGGGTTTTGTTGCAACGGCCCTTACATTTACCTTGGGACTAAAAAAATACATGGAATAATATATGTCTCTCTAGGAGTTTACTGAACTTTTCATTGACTGATAGTTGATAGTACGGATATTTAGCGTAGTTAACAGTAGATATAGTCAATAGTAAGAAACATTTTATTACCTATAATCATTAGAAAACGCATAAAATTTAAACTTACGATCAGCTCCAATATCTCATTTCTTAGTTCCTTTCTGACGTCATCTTTTCCCCCTAGTATAATCTCCCCTTTGCTCCAGTCAGGGAATATAAGGGCTCCTCGTTCTATCCTCCATTTGTTCAAACGAGTATTATCTGCAAACATTTATGGTAGAGAAATACTTATTTTAAATAATATTTATGATAGAAAAATACTGAGAGCATGCCGCACTGAGGTGGAAATAAGAGATGTTTAAGCAGTTTTACTCGATAAAGTGTTTTATCTTAGTACGTTTTATCTAACGTATTTTATCTACCGTTGATTTGTTATTGCAGCTTGGGATGAGGCTAGACATGAAGTAATAAGGAAATTTTCTTTATCAGAAAGGACAGCTTCCTACCATAAGGAAACTAATAATGAAGCAATTATTTTATCAATGACATTTTCTACCGTTTTATTGTGAAGGTATTATAACAAATGATGATGATGTATCTATACTCAATCTTGTGACATACACTACATTACATACAGTAGTTACACCATGGACAGTATTGTGTAGGGTGTACAATATATATTTTATCTTAACCATACCTTCTTAAACTCGCAATTTCATTGTCTAAATTACACAAAAGAGCCGTGTTCATATCCTAGAGGGCGCTAATAGCTAGGGTAGACAGTAGGACTGCTATTCAGAGCGGACATCAAGAATGGTAAATGTGTGACTTAACTTTAGTTTGTAAGCTGTTCATAACTTTGTCATACACATGGTATTGGTGTTGGCAATGCACATTGCACGAATGCATGAGTATGTACTCAACGACAATATTCGTCTGAATTTCGCAAAGAAAACCCAAAGCGATCAAAAATCAAAAATATTAACATGACAACACAATAACAACACAATAACAACACAATAACAACACAATAACAACACCATAACAACTTCAGACTAACCTCTACCCAGCACGTAAAGAAGCCCGTCTCGCCCCTCACAGTTAATAGCGACAGAGTCTGCATCAAAACACCTTTTGTTAGCAGTAGCTAGTCTCTTTCTGTGCGCACTATCGTGCACTCCTGAAGGTTTAATTTATAATCTTAGAACAAGGTTATGAGATATTATTGAGTATTATATAATAGTCATAGTGTTACGACGTTTATCACTTTGATTTTCAACCTACTTTGGTTTTTCTATACATCAGATAAATCAGATTTATAATTACGTAAGCAGACATCATTATTGGATATTTTCCAAACACAATGGTCAATTTCATTATACGACAATTATCACGTCATGGTTAACACTAAACAATTAATTTTAATGAAATTTTGCTACTCTGGTGACAGTTTGGAACACATACCATTCCTTTGAAATTACAGCACAATGGGTATAATTTGAAGATTTGGTAGATTTGCAGATTCCTTACAATCGCCTAATTCTCAGAATTATAAGGATTAATTCAGTACCGATCAACCACTAATTCAGTGATAATTACTAAAGATAATTACAACAGAGAGACAGCTCACAGCAATCTCGTATTATTGTCTATTAAATAAGATTTCTGTTTAAATTATGGTCTGTCAGATAATAAACTCACTTGTATCTTATATACCTTACAGTGTACAAAGTGTACAACCTAACTGGAAGTAGCGACTGTTGTGGCAGAAATGTGGCTGTACAATGCTAATACCACTGGAGAGTATGAAAACAAGCTCACAACATTAGCTGATCACACCTGATAACTCTACAAAATAACCGCCTAACTTTTAGATGCGATGAAAAAGCATTGCAATTATCTAATTATCCAATTATCTAAATTAGATTGGTCCGCATGTGGTAATGTGGAGATCATACCTTCTAATGAGAGTGTATAAACCTTGCTGTGTATAGGAATGTAGCAGGTAGCTACTATGAACTGTTAACTACGCTTATTATTCACACACTTAGTAGTTGATTGCGGGAGTCTTTACATTAAGAACTAAAGCCGCGCTATATCATCCACCAACTAGACTCAGTAAGATTACTAGTTACACTCAGCAACATAGAAAACTATAATCTTGTCTCTTTAAACATGTAACGTTCACCCAATGTGGACTCACTCCACATTTGAATACGATAGTTCTAAAAACAACAACGCAGAAATACAACCAGTCAATCACTCTTCACAACAAACCAAACCCCCGGCACTAAAAAGCTAAAACTTAAACTTACTAAGAGTAATAGTTGGCTCGAGTACTGGAGGGGGTGGCGTATCCGGCTTGTCCGGATCACGGATCTGACCGATATTCTTCCTAGCTGAGATGGACCTACGGAACTCGAGGACCCCCCTCTCAGCCCCGTACATTTCGTAGCAACAGTAAACACAGGCCGTATACTATAAAAGCGAAACACAGATAATAGACAAACGTATAGTACAAAACGCGGAGAACGTGTGAGTGACAGTGAGTAAGCGGCAAGAACCGCTATAATTATCATAAGTGTAATGTGAGGTCTATTATGTAATGTTACGCTAAACGATTGTTATACTTGCGGCAAGGGATGATAGGGAACAACAGCTAGATACTGAGGGAGGTGCGAGAAAAGTTATGCGACTCTAGCTGGGTGCGAAACTATTGAAAGTCGTGCATGAAAACGTCGTTATTTAACTACAATTTAACTACAATTTATCTGTCTTAGTTAGCTAGAGCCGACGGCAATTAACTCCTTCACGACAAAAAGCTCGTATAATCACGAAAATACCGTGTCATTAACACAAGAGAGCACAGTTATACTCATGGACTGAAGCACGAACGCATCACTCCTCGTCCACTAAAAATTGGAAACTATTTATTAACGATTACAGGGTGACGGCGTATATAATAAAGCCCGCGGCGTAAAGCAAAGGAGAGTAATCCTCTCAACCAGGTCGATTGAATATTTTAGCGAAAGCTCCAGTGATCCTACAGGAAAACTGGCGGTTTGATGCAGCCGATCAGCGTTGAGGATGACACCGTTTCCGCCAATCGCAGCCACGAAGATAGGTCAGCTGACCAGTGTTGAATCAGGAAATTCATATAGCAAGAGTTTGTCATTGCATGTGTGTTAATATATTATGTAAATGATAGTAAACAGCTGCGTTGGCTTGCTCACAGTATGATTTGAACTTGATGAGCAGGCTGTTGGAGTGTTTCCATCTTTTAATTGATTCTTTCTTTAATTCGGATTGAAATAGTATTTGTTTTTGACAATTGTATACGTAGTCGTGCTCGGAAGGTTTTAACTGTTTTATTTTCTTTCCGAAAGAAGTTAGCTCTGGTGTTACTGTAGGAAGCGACGTCACTTTCTTTTGGCACGTGATTGATCAATCAGTTTACAGCAAAGATCAATCAAATAAGAGCTGTCACTCTGCATTCGTCAAAGTAAAGTGTTGACGCAGCCCAAACATATCAGCATACCATAGATCAAATTCTTTTTGACAACACTTATTAAGTATTAGTAATGTAGAAGACGAATGAACCATCAGCTACTCATCGGGACCTGATTGTCGTGCTTAGTTTATAGCATGTTATTTTGTGATTATTCAGGAGGAGGGCATGGATCATTTATTTAATTTTTATCAACTACTAAACACTTAAAACTAATATCTAACACTCAAAACTAATATCTAAGATGTCATAAAATTTAGAAATCGTTCTTAAATAGTTCTGGGTAGATATTATCATTAAGAAAACCAAACCAGCAAGAGAGCGTGCTAAAGAATATTCAGAATATTCATAAAATAATAGATGGCAGGCATGGCTCGTTCTCAAAGAGAAATAAACACGAAGTGTGACTAATATTAACTGATTTTAAACTTTAGATAAGCCCTGTCACAGATTGATTATTAAAATTTCCGTTTAAAGTTCATTTTCTCACTAAATGCCATGAAGAAAATCTAGGATTACCTAGTAAGTAAATGAATGAAACGCAGGGTACCTTCAATTTGTCAAAGATTGAGCAACCAGTCATCAGAGGGGTGATGCAGGGGGGGGGGGGGGGGGGGGAGTGGTCAAATGTGAGACTCCCTCCATTCTTGTCTATTGAAGTTGTCGACCATCGCCCAAATTAATATGTTACCAATTTAGCACAAATTCTTCAGCCCTCTCAAATGTGTTTAAAAACATTGTGACAGTGTTGCAATCTTTCCCGAGTTTTTCAAAAAATTACATTCGAATTGGAGGAATTTAAAATATCTGTCCCTCAGTTCCACAAAACAAGTAATTCAGTAACAGGAACGGAAATCATTGATTTTCTTACCATCGACTTCATTATCCGAGACAGAGCATTTCTCAGAGTTTCTATCAGTGTCACAGAGATCTTCTCCTAAATACATTTATCACGTGACTCTGTGTCTCGGTGTGTCTTGTTCCAATCACATGATTTAACACGCGTGGAAAACCTTTCAAGGTTATACTGGTTAAAATAAACCAGGCATTATTAACCGAATGCATAGTCTGACTTCTGAGCAGCATAATATATATTCGAAGATAACAACAAAATGGCAATTGGCAACCTGATAAAAAAGTAACAACTCAAAAGAAACAACTAGAGCGTAAAAGAGACAACCAGAGCAAATCCCGTCGAATCAGTAGAGTAAAATGCGCTCCGTTACTATAAAGCTTTAAGAATGATTACTATGCGAATATATTAACGGTATCATGTTCCAGAATATAAACTTAGCTGAAAACCGGAAACCATTTTCAAGATTTTCACAGGAATTTTAGCGGTGAGAATGTAGTTAAACATCCTGTGATATTATGGAAGCAACTCAAGAACTAAGCATAATCGTACAGTGTAACCAAACTCAACAAATGTACGAGCAAAACAGGGCAGGGAATCTCCCAAGTTTGCACACCTCTCTGGTGAAAAGTTACAACTAATCAAAAGCCTCGTAACAGAAAATATCAGACGGAAGCAGGAATTTACGCACTAGAGCTATCAGTTTGCAGCGTATAATACTGGAATTCCACGGGGCGTGCCAAATCAGTTCGTAGGTATTAATCATAGTCAAATAGCCGTAAAAGGAAGTGTTTTAGTAAACATCAGTTTAGTTAAGTAGGGGAATCCAATTAAAGGTATGTAGAGTCAAGCTGGTATACATACCATGCGTGAGGAGATGAAATACATATTTAATATTTAAACTGCATCACAGAAGATATTACAAGCCATATGCACTATGTTAGGTCATTACATATGAGTATATATTATGGGTATATTGTGTGCACTGTGATTACCACAGAATGGCACATGTGTTTAAAATACTGGACTAACGAAAAGCATTATGTTTTAATGTTTGGACAGACTAAGTAGTACTAGTAGTATCAACATGTTCAATATCACTACCTACGACATGGCTATAGTATCAACATGTTCAACATTAGTTCAACAATTCAGCTACAGTGGTATCATACTCTATATCAGTCTCAACACATAAATGCTCTAAGTTTAATAGGCTAAATCGTTACACGAACACGAATCGAAAAAGGCGCCTACAAAACAACTACTCAAAATTCTTTTGTAAAAATCTCCCTTGCTATTACTTTAACTTGTGACGTCACAAAAAGAGAGAAATGTCGAAAAAAAAGCTTTTAGAGAATAAAGATCATTATTATATTCGGGGTTGTTGCGTAATGGCTAGGTCTGACGTCTTGTCCTAATCACATGGGCAGTCATATTAAAAAGGCAACAAGTATAATGAGTTTTTTACAAAAATATGAAAACAAATGGCGACGTTTCGCAACTTAGGACAGTTAGGAGATTCAATCAATGAAACGTGTTCTGACGAAGCTATGTTGCGAAATGTCGGCAATTGTTTAACAATTTTTAGAGAGAGATAGCTGTTTTACTTGTCCCAATATCAAAATAAAGATCAAGCACTGCTAGAAGAATGAGAATATTTTATTATTGATGTTAAAAGTCATACAATTTTGAATACTAAAAACAAAAATGTCAGAATTTCGCGAATTCAATCCACACAAATACACATAAAGGAAAAGAGTAAGAGCATACGAGAGTAGAAACCAACCACGAAATACAATACTTTAACACGCGTCAAAACTTTTAAAAGAGACAGCAAAATCATATCTTTTAAAAACATGAACTTCCAAACACGGCCAACTTCATGATCAACACTACGAATATTAAAACAGCAAATCAAAAACCCAACACAGCGTTATCTGAACTTTAAAATACAAGATAGGCAAACCAACTGAGAGGACAACAAGGAAACCACATACCCACACCGTACACGAGGAGGGGGTGCTCACGTTATATAACATTATCATAATATATTAACATATAATGTTATATTAGATATCGTGTGAAGGCCTAACAAGGGTTTATTGAATTTTATAAGAGTATATTTCACCGCTACTTGATACGTGAACTTTTACGTAACCAACGAATTAATTTATGGGCCGGTAAAGTGGCAGAGGCGTTAAAGTAGAATATTTACACGCTAGTTTCTAATGTAGTATTTACGGAACATTTGGTGGGATTTATCGATAGAATTCCACGTGTATGAAATTATCCAGCAAAACTAAAATAAAACGATGTATTGATCTGTAAAGGGATATCAAGAGAGAGAACGGATTTTGAGCCATGGTAACAACAAATCTACTTATTAAAGGTAAAAATCAATTAAGGGGGATGGAGCATCAAGTCAACTTGTCTTGTTAGTAAATGATTCTATAAATAAATGGTAACTCGGTAATCTGCCGATGCATATCTGGGGCACACCTCGGGCACACTTCGGGCACAAACTCGGGCACGCCTGCAGGGCACATCTCGGTCACATCTCGGGCAGAAAGCACACCTCGGACAGAACCACCTGGGGCACACCTGGGGCACATCTCGGGCAAAACCACCTGGGGCACGGTCATTCGGGCAATATGAATTATGGCTGGGCTACTAACCTCACAATAATAAATGATAGATATCATTATTTATATTACTTATATTGGTGACAGTATTAAACTATATGTATGAGCAATATAATTATCAGAGACACACAGCTAACACTATCATTCGATATAATGGCTCGCACTTTCCTCTCCTACGAAGATCTCAGAAGAACTGGAGTCCTCTCTTTAGAAGCCACAGCTCTACAGTACTGCCTCGATGTGGAACTCCTACGTCCTATTTTGCCCGAGATGTGCCCGAGGTGTGCCCGATGTGTGCCCGAGGTGGTTCTGCCCGAGGTGTGCCCAAGGTGTGCTTTCTGCCCGAGATGTGCCCGATATGTGCCCCAGGTGTGCCCGAGTTTGTGCCCGAGGTGTGCCCGAGTTGTGCCCCAGATGTGCATCGGCAGATTACCGAATTGCCAAATAAATACCAGCGAATAATATGCATATTATTATGTCAACATAATTTTCACGGGATTCGTAGCCACGTCAAGCCGGCGCATTCTAATCGGAATTTCAG